AACAGTGCTCCGTAATTAATATACATGTACTTGTCACTTCTGCTACAATACCTCACGCTATATTTTCCTTACGAATTGCTGCATTAGTTTCGAACTTGGTACATCATATGTGATCTATCTTTCTGCATTCTCTTAAGATATTTCACTCATTCTTTGTTGATCACGGATAGGACTGCAATTTCCAAAATTTATCCCCTATGATTTTTAGTCCATGGACACCGATGATATCGATAATATGCTCATTCGTCAACTGTCCTGTTTGGGAACCAGCGATAAGGAGGTAAATGTTTTGCTAGCTTTTTACCCCTTTTACTACTGCGTCTTTCTTACTCCCTTTTTTCAAAGGTGTTAGTAAAGCAGTTTCAAAGCATTCTTGGAGATGTTTCGCTTTCACCGGAACTATGTGCATTTTTTCTGGATATGTCGAATTGGTATGTAACTGCAATATTTGTCATTTTCCCACCAGTTTGATTCCCTTTTTTAAGGAATCTCCAAGATGCTGTAGGTGCTTATTACGATCATGGTCACTCTAATAATGTTAATGAAATTGGCGTTGACTTGCCTTTACTCAACATGCAACTTGTAAGAGACGTCACCATAGGGGAGGTAATTTTTATTTACTTCTGCAAGTTTTCTGTTTAAGTCATTGTTGGTTACATTTTTTAGACACTTTCGCTATCATAGAAATCCAGAATAAGTGATTTAGGGTGAATCTGTTCCCCCGAAAACGCGCTTTGTAAAATCTTGGCGGGTCAGAAATACTGGCGGAGTCCATTGGCCTCAGGGAACCGCTCTGTGTTTTGTTGATGGTAAGCTTAATAATTATATTAATAAACTACCCGTATTCCTCATATTAAATAGTCACTTTTGCACTAGTAATTTTTACCATTTAATCATGTTTTATACATCAGGTACCCCTCTTTCATGTGAGCGAAGAGTACCAGTTGCTTGTCTCGGTCCAGGGGGCGAGGCAGAATTGAATGTGGAGATGATCAGCCCATCAACTCCGGGAATTTATCAAAGTCGTTGGCAGCTAAACACTCCTCAAAGTGTCCCGTTTGGTGGTAGGCACCTTTACAACTTTGTATAAAGTTTTTTAATGAATTGACAGTCACTCTTACGAGTTTTTTTTTGTGATGTACCTTTTTTTTCACAGCCAAGTCAAAACCGATTTTTGTTCAAAAGTGGTATGCTGCACCAGCAAAGGTTTCAATGTTTCGCTCCAAATTTTCCTATATTCCAAGACCAAGTTCTTTGCTGTTTTCCCGCTAAGCTCTTCTAACACTTTCTACCTAATTCTATAGTCTTTTCGCTTTAGCTTGCGTTTCATTCTTTCTATCATTATAAAATTTAATAGATAGTAGTGGTGTTCTTTTTAGGAACGTTTTTTGTTTTTGAGTTTTGCAAATACTTTCCATGTGGCATCTAATGTTGAGTTTGTCATAATTACAAGGGTATTTGATCAACTAAAGATCGATCGACTCGTCACAAATGATACAAATTTTTTTGAATGCAAATAGTTCTTCTTATCAAGATGTATATCATGAGGCATGGTGACATCCCACGTGAAGTTCTTTCTTTGCTAATTTGTCTTAGCCGTTGTGAATATTTTCGAGTTTGTTTACATTGAGAGAGTTTGGTAGGAAAACATGTGTGTGGATGTTTGATCAAAAAGGTTAAAGCATATGTGACTTTGACTATCAGCTGGAACTTACACAAACGTTTGATGTTTCGATGTCGGTTTTTTGGGCTGGGTCTTTGTTTTTAAAATATTGTGGCTGGATAAATCACCGTATTAGTTAGGATTAGCAATAATTTATATGTAATTGTATACTTCTCCTAACATTATGAATTGTAGAGCCCATCTGGTGTATAATTGCTGTGGATAGTGACGGAATTTTGGATATCACTCAGCAGCTAGCTAGTGCCCCCCTTGGACGTGCAAATTCACCTTCTGGATACAATCCATTTCAAACTTCCTCACCCATCCATACGGTACGCACCTGGAGGGTTGCAAGATCATTTCTCATTGTTTTTGAATTTGTATATCTTTAGATGGCTGATGATTTCATGGACATGAATGTCAACGACAGGGTGAGCTGATCACCTTTGAATGGTTTCCTTATTAATTTTACATAATGTATCCACTCTGTGTTCTATCGTATTTTGACTATTATTCTAGTTTTCATTCTGTTTCTGATATTTCTCTATTTGAGTTCTTGTTTTTTTAAAATTAAAGATTGCTATGCGTCTCGCTCATTACGACTGCTCCAGCCCGGTTACCATTCCCCATGGTGACGGCACTGATAACCCCCCATGCACACCATGTACGCCTCCCCATGAAGATCGTGAATAGACGTTCCTGTATGAACAAGGTTAGTTTATCAGTTATGTTATTGCCAATTGAACTATTCATCATTTAGATTGAATTTAAAGTCTGAATAAGTAGACACAACCTCAGTCTCTGACGGGAACTTACCACCTTTAACATTTTTTCACGGGAGAATCTCACTTGTTGAACTTGTGAGATACGCTTCTTCGATATTGCTGAGGTGACCCAATAAAACTTTGGGAGCTAGTATTTTGTCAGAAGATATCAACAACATAGGGTTTTGAGCTGTTCATCTTCTGAAGAAAGTTACTTTAGGTCGTGTTCCTGCCAACAGTTTCTTTCCTTTCGTAACATTGTCTGGGCGTTTCGTGTTTTTGCGAAAGCGTGTTCAACCATCTATACTACCACTACTTTCTATAGAATTCAACTGCATATTTCACAGCGAATGGCAATGCGTGGACTTGTGCACTCCTCTGCCCCGACCCTAATGTTTGTTAGTTTAAAAGCTACATTTGCACACGCTGTTAGTGTCGCAAATTGCAGATCATCTGAATGTTTTCACTGTATTTTAACTATTTGAAAATCTTACTCAGTAAATAGCAAGAATTCTCAACATTTTACTCGAATCATCCTCATTTATCGAATCAAAACACCTTCTCTGAAGCAGATTTCCGTAATTATAATGCCCATTGGTCTTCTCGTCCATAAATCGCTTTCGATTTCGGATTCGTCGTTATCGAATAGCTTTGAAATTTTATTTATCTTTGTTAATACGGTTCTACTCGAACTAAACGAAACCCTGTATTTTTGCATCAGCATCATTTTTTCCCTTTTCCTCTTTGGTAGTCTTTTTTTCCCTCAAAATCAAACGCCAGTCTTTAAGATGTGATATGGAACACAATCTTTTGCTGTACCTAACTAATTAGCGTTGTTTGTTGACGCTTAGTGACGGGTACATATAGTTAGGGTTTGTCTTTGTAATGTTCCTTTTCCTCATATTGTATAAAGCTGAACTCCCAGGATACTCTATTTAGTTAGCAGATTAATCTCTTTTTTTTATGTTGGATCAGTATTATTGTTGAATTGTGTTATAGTTTTGATAAATATCATGTATGCCCCGCTAGTTTGTATTCGTTCGAGGAATTCATTTGCCGCTGCGTTTTCGATACACTATGTCTAACAATACCCGGAAAATTCTGTAATGGACAAGATTATAATGGGAGACGTGAAAGAATAAATGGCACGGCATCAACCACCATTCGTATCACGTGATCCCCACAGATAAAGGAATCATGCTGTGTTTCATTTCTGCTGGAAGAGGGCTTAGGTTTCTGTTCAAAATTTTTCTAAAAATCGTGCATCTTAGTATTGTGCCATGAAATCTGGAATTGTGTGTTAAGCGCTCTAGTCCGTGGAGCGACATATGACTTATGAATTATATAAATTCGCAATGCAAATCTTATTATCTTCTACTCACAATATGTCTGTTCAGATCAACCTTATTTGGATCCTTTAGGACCTCATTTTAATTTCTTAAGACTTGAGTTTACACAATAAGTTTTCTAAGAATTTTTTTGTCCTAATCAATTCTTTCATCCTAGTATAATTAATAACTGCCCTATTTCAATGTCAACGATGCTTTGCGATTTGGAGGCGAAATTGCGAATTGGGCAGAGGTGTTAGATTTGTTTTGTATTTCAGCCAAAACATGACTATGCAATAGTGCCAATCATCCTATAGTAAAAGAGGTCTTTCAATTCTAGCGTCTTGGTACGAAAAAAGGACAAGTTCTAGGAAGTTGCGTGTGAAAAGGAGGTTGAATACCTCTGCTACGAACTTGAATGGAATACTTATGTCGTTTCTCCAACCTTTAAATGCCGCGAAAATTGCTTACTGAGAGCCTT